CCTTCGGGAAGTACAAAAGAGAGTGAAAAGTACGAATCTCCGCGAGAGTTTGCTGAAAATTGTTTGACATTTGATTTATTTACAGTTAAATTGTTGTGTTTTTTAGTGCGAAGTAAATTTAAGAAACACATATTTTGGATGTAATATTTATAACGGAAATAAAATAAAGTTTTATGGAAAATTATGTGCCATGCCATGACTCATTGTTCAGTGAAAAAGAACGGAAAGTGCGCAAAAAAGCACATGGTTTAAAAAACAATTACGATCCGCGTGAAACAACATTTAAGCATTTAGATAACATGTATTAAATATATAGTTAGAAATATCATAAATTAAATAATAATTAAAATATAGTATTTTCTAAGGATTGTTTAAATCATTTTCAAGAATATAAACTTACAAACTTTATTATAATATAACTTGTCATGTATGCAAAGTTTTTATATGACCGATTATTTCAAATATTATATTAAATTGAATCTTAAAATATAATTTTAAGATAGCAGGAATATCAGAAACTTTTTCCATGAAATCTATCTTTCATGAGCTATTTTTTGTTAATATCGCGTTGGAGTCTTCTTATTTACCTTTTAAAGAAAATCATAAAATTAAGTTTTACATTTAAAATCAAAACTTCATTAAGTGAGGTACTGAATGTTTCTTCGACTATTTCCTGCCATTTTTCAGATAGCCTCATCACGCCGTTCTCATTGAGTACATAATCACGTTACGCTTGACAAAAGCCATTTATTGAGAAAAAATGAGAAGACTTTTTTGTCCAACTTAATATATACAGCGACTCGCGAAAGATCTGTAATCGCACGTTTCGTCTCGTAACGAACGCATGATTCATGGGTGTCACATAAACAAGAATGGACATTCGTGTCTCGCATGCCTTCCATTTGTGAGGAATGTGAAAGAAAATGCGATCTCCGCAGAGGGATGTGATACAGTCGACGATTTCCGGAAGCCACTCGTTACGCGGTCACATTACAGTTACTGTCAAGGTTCGCGAGAGAAAGGTGAGAGAAGAGAAAAATCTCGGGCGCGACCGACAGTCGACAAATAGAGACAACGATTGGAACTTCCTGGATTTCTTTTCACCTTTCCCGATAGCTTTTTGTGCCGCCGATCCTTTGCCACGTTCCCATTTCAGCTAAAGGGAACGATTAATTATTGACGCGGATCGTAGCACCCCGCGTTCTGCCACGCGTGAATGTCAGGAAGTGATCTGGGCAAACGAATGGATCGCAATTAATGTCAAGGCATTTCTTGCGATCAGGCGAACGTGAAAGCCAACAGATCGCGACTGTGGATTTGACAAATTGGGATTTCTAACAATTGATGATCCTTTTGTGACGGTGTTGCGTTTTCGACGGATGATGACAGATTTTACAGTTCTCTCTCTCACTTTTCTTTACGTCTCTATAAAACTTATTAACCTTCAGTGAATTAGGTGAAGTGTAATATACCCCAACAAGATGTAAACTTCTATAATAACTTCTTAAAATGTATTTCGCGCAAGTTGCCATTTCGTGTAGCTGTAATGTGACGTTGCTAGTCATACTAAATTAATATTTATAGTAAAGTACAGCATGGGGTATGAACCCCATATATCGCCATGTTGATTTTTCATCTGGTTCAAAGAGGGTTAATTTTATACATTAAAATTATTATTATTTGCTTTTATTATAAAATAAAATAAAAATTATTATTTTTTTGTGTTATTGTTTTTATGAAATAAATGGGAAGGTACCAACAACTGTATTTGCAAATTACGACCATATTTTCGGGAAGATACAATTTTGAGCTAGTCATGCGCATAATTCTATTTATGGTATCTTAACATATTGACACTATATAATTCAATTATAATTCTGTCTCCATTTTTATATCAGCACGTTACTTTATAATTATAATTGTTTCTCATCAAAATTTATGAAATGTTCATTTTCCCTTCGAAAAATTGAATTAATGAATCGCTGGCGTCCATTTATAGATCGCCAACGACGAATTAATTTGTATTCGACAGACATAATTTGTATTACACACGGAAAGAACAATTTTGTTGAAGTATCTAAAAGTTTAGCTAGATACAGACCTGCAAATAATTTTGATTGGCTCATCAAAATAAATTATTTAGGAATTAGGATATCTAAACTGCTAAAATGTTAAAACTATTTGCTGTATTTGCTGTGTCATTAACGTTTTAGCGTTCTCTCTCTCTCTTTCTCTCTCTACATAAATTTTTAATGATCCAACAAAATTATTTTCAGATCTGTATCTAGTTAAATTTTTAAATATTTTAACATAATCATTCTTTCCATATGCACATCCTTAATAACAATTTATTGGCGATGCATTGATTAAACATTGAAGATATATTGAGCCAATATTGGGCCAACATTTATTATTAATTTGCTACTAGAGATCATGTATGAAATAGGACGCACTTCAATTGGATTTTTCATACCGCGGTTTTCAGATCATCGCGATAACTTCGTAGCTGTATTATCCACTCGAGAGATTACAAAATAACTTACGACATTCAATGATATTATCGACTTTTTCTGAATATTTTTCTCTGCCACATCGGCTTTGGTACTCGACAACTTCTGATATCGGTGAAACAAATCATTTGCGCGCGCAACCGCAAAGATCCGCTGTGATCGATGAAATAATCGTTAATTTGCAAATCGCTCAGAATCTGATGAATAAAAAAAGAGGATCGATCGAACATGCAACGTTTAATCAGAAGGTAAATACGCGGAGGGAAACGCGCACCGAAAAAAAAATCTTGCGTTTTGCATGTAATTGCTACCAAATGTTGAATGAAATAATTCCAATCAGATGTTCGATTATAATATAACTGAAAATAATTTTATTTTTCTATAAATCTTTAGTAAATATTATAAAAAAAAGTTGATTATAATTATTACGTTATGTTTGCTACTTGGCAAAATATATATTTACTAAATATTTAGAAAAATAAAATTATTCTTAGTTATATTAATCAAACATTTGATTGGAATTATTTCACTCAACATTTGGTAGCTGTATTACCGGGCTCGTTTTTTAGTGCATAAGGCGAAAGACTCGCGCGCGAGATTACGACGGGAGATCGTACTTACAGCACATTTTCAACAAGGAAATCATCCTTGGGAGATTAATTATCCTTGAGGAATACGACGAAATCTCTTCTAATCGCCAATTGTTGAAATCCCGGGGGGATGAAGCAACAGGGGCGGCTTTTTTTGCTTTTCTTGTCCCTTCCTACTCGAAAGTCGCCCTTTCGCTTTCAAGGGTCACAAAGAGCTCCGAAATACAAAGCTGTCACTTCTCCTTTTGCCTCGTCTCCAAATCGTACACACGTGTCGCGAGCAACTGAATCCGGCACCCTCGTAAGTTCGCTTTTATATCTGCATGTGCTCGTCGCACATTATCCAGGGTGGGGAACGTAAGAGAAACGCAAGGTACGAGCTGCGAGGAGGCGATAAGCCCGATCTCGGCCGTGAATCGACCGCGTGCACGACGTTTTTGAGGTATACTAGTAGGTGTACTGGTATTTCCCGAACTGTTTTTTCCGTGCAGCCGTTGAACCTTGTTAACGTCGACACGCGACGATAACGTATTAGTTAACAACGGAGGGGATACGCGCCAATTTCATCATTTCATATTTTTTACAAGGAAATGTACTTTGTGTTTCGGAGCGAGTTAATTATGGATCGGTTTTCTGACTTTGAACGGAATCGGCAATTATTTTCCATGAATTTATTCAAATTTTTGTTCAAATTGAAAAACGACAGGAAGACGTTTTTTTCTTACTCACTAAATTCTTTAGAATAGAATCTCATTTTAAAGAATAAATTAAGCCAGTCTTGGAAAAGAGTGATTTAATTTTCAATCTTTAAGAGCGAGTGATTTCACTCTTCAGAGTATTCACTCTGAAAGTTTTAGAAAGTACAGATCTGAAGTCCTTCACAGGGACTATTTGCCTTCGACGTGGTGACCACTTGTCTTCCGTATAATAATAATAGTCGACCTGACGAATTCTATTCACGTACTATCTCATGGCAAACGTACTGTCGGGTCCTCGTATATAAATTCTGATTCATGCAACTCTATTTTTTTTTTCTATGCCGGCAAAGCGTCTGATATTGATCGCGATATCGATGCTAATTATCTCTTTTGAGGCCACAAGGCCACTGAATCTGATACATTTTCCAATGCGACGGCAATGATATTTCAATCGTTTGTGACCAAGATAGAATCGACGATCCACGAAGTTCTCCAAGCGTGATTAATATCTCATATAAAAAATTACGTTTTTGTAATATCTGTCTATAATCTAATCTATAATTCTATTAAGTTATATTTTTTTTATTTTATATAGAGATTACAAAAAATACAGATAATAATATTGTATAAATAAATTATACAAAATGATATCTTATAATTGAAAGAAAAAGATATTTGTTTATTATTGTCGAATTTTATTGAGATAGATAAAGCTTATTTTTATCGTAATTATCTCGTTACTTAATTTAAATCAAATTATCTAATTCAAGATTAATTAAGAGTGTTAATTGTAAAATGATGTATCACGAATATATTTGAAAAAGTCATATGCTCCTTCCGATATTGCGGCTGGAATAGAAAGTTGAAAGCTAAATCGATATACACAAAAACTGTAATATCGACGATCGAAAATATATCTCTACAAAAAATATGCATATTATAAATATAATATACATATATAAATACATATAAGTATGGATATTACGAAACCTTGAGACTTACAAATTATGAATATTATTTTTAATTATTTATTTTTAACGTTTTTAAATTTATTTTTATGTCGCAAAAGATATTCCTACGATATTTTTAAAGTTATACTATTTTTAAATTTTTTCTTTGTATTAAAAGAAATAATAAAAAATACTTGACATCTTTTTTATACTTTTTTGAAGAGATAAAAGTAATTTTACAGAATAAAAAAACTTCAAAGGATTGACGAAATGCACGGGGTGCACAAACAATCAATTTATCACCACGGTGACGCTGTTTACGTCGCTTTCGCAACTTCATACTTTTCACAGCCTAGTATATTCTTAATACATTTATCGTAAAGTTGATGAACGGAGCGATATGGAGCCTCAGGATCTTGAAACGATTGGAATGATCACGTTTGACGGTTTGTACAAAAAACAGTATTATTCATCTTATCCTTTATATGATTTCAAACAACTAGAATTCAATTTCTATCAAATTCAAAACGGATTTATTTAAATAAGTAATTAAATAAATTTAGTTCAATGAATTCATAAAAAATATATAAAATTAATAAAGTCTAATTGAGTGACATCAGTCGAGTTTATAGAAAACCGAGGAACTTGAATTTTACAAGATTTAACTTTCTGAAAAATGTATAGAGGATAGGTCACTGACACCGACATACCACTTTGTTTTTAGACAATATTTCTTAAACAAAAAGTAAAAATACAACTTCAAAAACATAAATACAAACTAAAAAGTGTCTTCTATCAGATAGTATAAGCATTTTTTATAACACCATTTGCAATTTTGCAATAATTAAGTTTTTCGTAAGTTATGCAAAAATGAGCGTCTGACAAAATGGGCTCCAAAACTGACATAGTAGGCAATAATGCCAACATTCCCATTTTATAAATAAAGATATATATCCTATTCTGTAAAGAAAACTATTTTATGAAACTATAAACATTTAAAATGACATAATATTATCAATAATACAGTTACTATTATTTTAATTACGCAATTTGCAAAAGAACACCGTAAGAATTTTCATCTCGGATTCATAGAATTTGCTTTTAGTTGATTTGATATAGAAATAAGCCACAAATATATGAATTATGAGTTTGTATTTCTTTAATTAGCTAAACAGATCACGTTTTTATTAGTATTAATAAGGTGCAAAGGTTAGTTTCTAAGAAATAAGGGGATGTTGCTTTAGGAGACCTAATGTCAGTATCGGTGACCTTCCTCTAAGAACAACGATAAATCGAGATTTTATATAGCATAATGCTTTTATTTGCATATATTTCTAAATGAAATTAATTAATTACTCATATGCCACTTTGTACTTCTTCCATGATTAATAACTTTACATTCTTCCATTATATTTTATCTTTCCAATGTCCTTCAATCTTTTTTTAAGGTATAACGAAGAACTCTCTGCAATTGCATCCGGATGAGAAGCACCTTCTCTATCCGATGGGCTACAAGGTCGTCATAAGGAACATCGAAACTGGCGAGCAACGATTTCTCAGCGGTCACACAAATAATGTCTCGACATTGTGTGTCTCTCCGTGCGGTGAATACGTCGCTTCCGGACAGAACAATCATCTCGGTTTCAAGGTACGTATACATCTTAATATTCTCATATGCAATTCAATTATATTTGATTTCACCGATTACATCTTCGTGTCACAGGCCATGGTGATTGTGTGGAATTACATGGAAGGCACGATGAAAGGCAGTTACGAGACGCACAAGGTCGGCATCGTGGACCTATGTTTTACTTGTAATAGCGACTTCCTCGTGAGTCTCGGTGGCAGAGACGACGGCAACGTAATTATCTGGGACGTCGAAAAGAATTCTTTAATTTGCGGTACCATACCTTAATCTTTTTATCAATATCCATACAAATCTGCCAGAAGAATCTCAAGCAGATGTGTATATATAATATATGATTGAAGAAATATATATACAGAAATTTCTCCGCGAAAACGAAATTTTTTTGCAAACAATTTGTACGGTACAAATTTAATCCGCAAATTTATATCAAATATTGAGAAACAATCCTCCGCAGGTTCATTCGCCAGCAACGATACGAGCGGTAACGCATATAGTATTACGAGAGCGCATCTTCACGGCGAGTGCTTCGTTAGCGCGGGCGACAGGACGCTGAAGATCTGGTGGATCGAGGCGGAGAAGCGTCGAGTGCACAATCTCGACGTGGAAGTGGGCAAATTGAAGCGTCTCATCAACTGCATAGCCGTAGACGAAAAGGACGAGATCGTCTACTGCGGCACTTCTTCCGGCGATATCATTAAAGCAAGGTCACATACCCAGATAGCAACGTGTTTGTCTTGTTGCTGGCATATTGCTTGCTAAGTATGCATTGTTAAGTACGTGTTGCTACCAGAATTGCAGCAATTGAGTCATTTGTTGGCAATTTGATGCCTTCACGATGTGATAACATTGAGTAGCAATTAACTTGCCAGCAATTTGCCGACTTTAACTTTAAAATCGTCAAAATTCGTACTATTGCCATCATGTATACAATGCTGTCATATTGCCGATAACGCAAGATAACATTGATGTAGCTATCTTGCTGTTAAACTACTGGCAATACGTATACACATTGGTGTCTGCATGTTGCTACAATGTCGGTATATTCGAAATCGTTGAAGACAAATCTAGTTTGAAGGCAAGTTGTCAGCATCATAAGCAATCACAGATTTTGCTGAGACACGCTTTGCTATCAGCTTTATAGAGATGCCCAGGGTTGGCAAACGTTACTTTTCAGTTACTTTGTCGTTACTTTTTATAGTAAACAATTTGATGACGATGTTGCAATTTTTTATGACGATAACGCTAACTGACTAAACGCTAAGGTTGTACTAAAGTTAGAAAAATCACTTTGAAAAGTAACTTGTCACTATTATGCGTTACACCGAAAAAATTATAAGTATAACGAGTAACGCGTAACGTTACTCGTTACTAAAAAGTAACGCGTTACAAATTAGGAGTTATTTTTTTCAGTAACGAATGACTTTTTCAATCCATTATAAGTAACGATTGACTTTTCTAACTCTGATGTTAGCATTACCATCATAAAAAATTCACAATGTCATTATCAAATTGTTATTATAACAAGGTAACGATCAACAAAGTAACGGCGTTACAAGTAACGCGTTACTTGCCAACCTTGGAGATGCCTATGGAAAAATTAGTACTCACAGCTCTTCAATTAATATCTATCTTTTAATTGCCGTATCACTACGTTTTATCTTCGTTTATCGTCTCTTCTTTCTCAGGTTAAATTTGCGTGACAATCTGCAATGCGGAGAACCGGCGTGTTTGCCGGTGATGATCGGCTGCTACTCGAAGATAACGCGCGACCCGAGGAAGATGAAGATGGGCGAGGGCGATCTGTACGCAGGCGGAGTGAAGAGCCTGCTGCTTCTGAAGGATGGAAAACTGGTAGTCGGTACTGGTGACGGTACCATCGAGTTGATCCAAATAATAAGCAGGAAAGAGAGCCGAACGCACAAGCAGCCGTCGAAGTTTCCCAATACACCGCAGATACTCACTGTAAGTCGTTCAAGTCACTTCACGGCAGATACATTATAAGAAAGAAGTAGAAAGTGACCTTGCGGTCAACAAAGACGAAGGAAGGGAAAGATATATAAAGATATTGCAAAACGTGGAATTACAAAAACAAAAATTAATGACGAAAGTTGGCAATATACACATGACTTGCAAAGAATTTATGATGACTGAAATCGTAATTATTATCCTTTTTTATTAATCAGCATCAAAAAGAAAACGTGTGTAGCGCTATAACATCCATGGTTCTCCATTTAAACGAATTCGTTCTGGTTGGGACATCCTGGTGCGAGATCTATCAAATAAAGCTGTCAAATTTCACAGATATGCGTCTGCTCGTCACGTGTCACACCAGCTGCATATATAGCATCGCGTTTCCACGGTAAGGAAATTTTGCAACTACATGTTGGTTGATCGAATCGATTAACGTCGCTTTAATGTCGCAGCAATCATTCGGAGGTATTCGCAACAGGCAGCAAGAACGACATCAGGTTGTGGCTACTGGAAAAGCAGAAGGAGAGAGTTCGTGTCACCGTAGCGAATTTCATTTGCTCCAGTCTACAGTTCGCACGTGATGATCAAATGCTGCTTTCTGGTACGTATAGCCAGTCATATTTATATTTGTATTATCGAAAATTTTAACAAAAAATTCAAGTATTATATAAATCAGGAATTGTAACTCTTCCTTATGTTATTATCCGTGCAATTATCTGAGATTATTAATCTTCATGCATGTAAAATCTTTCATTCATCGGAAGTTCCCCGTTTATGTTTCAAAGACTTAACGGTTGCAATTTATTATAATTTTTGTACGCTATCGAGTCACCGTTCTTTTTTCCATATTCCAGAACTGAATTTTTTTACACGGTTCATTTTTGTCTTTTTCTCTCCGATGTGAAAAGAAAAAGAAGAAAGATGGACTATTCAAGAAGTTCAGGGCATGGAAGAAGAACAGGCCTCGTGTTTAAACTAAAAGAAACATTTTTATTGTTTACATGTATCAGCCTGGAACGACGGCATAATAAGAGCGTTCTCGTCGCACAACGGGGACTTATTTTTTTCTATTCATAACGCTCATACGAAAGCCATATCGACGATTGCCATCACGAGCGACGATACTACGCTGATTAGCGGCGGCTGCGACGGCCAGGTAATTTACTTCGCTCAATCGAATCTGATCGGCTAATTCTTTTCCTGCGGAAAAATTAACATCTATTCGTATTAATTATGCATTACACACCAATAAATTTTACCGTTTAACTTATCTGATTTCCAGGTGCGTATATGGGACATAAAAACTGACGTGCGGCAATTGATTAATATACTGAAGGAACATCGGGGTCCGATAACGTCTTTGCATATCTCAAGCAACAACGAGGATCTGATAAGTTCGAGTACGGATGGCACGTGCGTTGTTTGGGACATAATGTAAGTTTCGCTTGTAAAAATATTAATTAAGTTGGGGTGTAAGAGTGAATTTTACCGGGTTCTTTCATAACAGACGCTGCACCAGGAAACACATTCTCATAGGAAACACGATGTTTATGATGGCACAATTTACGCCCGACGGCATTCAGATCTTGACATGCGGCACTGATCGAGGGAGACTCTGGACGGTTCGTTAGTACGGGAGATCGAAGGCTCGAGCGCCGGAACGATGAATTGCGTAGACATCAGTTTGGATGGTCGATGCTTCGTTACTGGTTCCAATGATTGCACCATCAAAATCTGGGAGTATAATAGCGCGGATCTCACCCACGTTGGTACTTCCCACGCCGCGATAATCACCGCGTGTAAGTTCAGTACGGACGGCAAGCATATAGTAACAGCAAGCGCTGATGGATCAATTATAATATGGAAACGTCCATCCGAGGTCTTAAAGGATTCCAAGAGCGTGCCAGTTCAAGAGGATGAATCAGAAAGAGCCGCTAGCTCGACACGTAGCGTGCCCAATGAGGATGCGGACAAATTATCTTCGCGAAAAGCAGAGGCTGATGGAAGTGTCGTGATGGATCAGACTGCACGATCCTCTAAAAAATCTAGTTCATCATGTACAAGTAAGTATATTATATTCTTAAATGTATGACAAAGTAAAACACAGATTTATCAGAGCAATGTAAATCTTACATGTTATTGCAATTCATATTTGTTGATTTATTAACGATAGGTAATCAGAAACCGCCGTCAGTTGCTTCTGATCGAAGTAAAGGTTCCAAAAAAGAAACGCGCGAAGAAAGAACACCCGTTTGCAAATGTACATCGCGAGTCTCGGCAAGCTCCAAATCAAGTGCAAGCATACCGAATCAATGCCGATGTAAGGACACAAAGAGTGATAGATCATCTAGCAAAATAAGGACGATGGAAAAATCGAAAGAATCTTCAGATTCATGCAGCAAAAGATCCATTACGTAATAATAAAAGACATAATGCACAATTATTTCGTGACAAATCGATTAATTTATATACTCGGGGTTTCGATATTACTATATTAAAAAATGAATGCGTACAATAAAACTGTGCAGCATTTTTCTACCTTCCTAACATAAATACGTAATTCCAGCAAGAGAATTCTTTTACAAAACAACGGTAAAAACCGGATATCATAATTATAATCATAATTATATTATACATAAGTAAAAATTATATAATAAATAGAAAACTAGAATTATCACAATGTGTTTTGTATCAACTTATATATTATTCTTTGTCGGAGAAAATTAATATTGGCAAGCTAATTTTAACAAATCTCAGCCCCATGCTTGACTCTTACAGTAATGTATAACCAACTTTCCGTCAGCACCGTAGCAGTCATACAAATTCTTGACCGTCTGATCTGGAGCAGGTGCAAATGTTTGATTAACATAGAGAAACTGAAAAGCAAAAAATTCATTATTATTATTATTATTATTATGCTTCATTGTACTGGCAAAAGAGATCAGAAAAAAGTACTTCAATGTACCAGTCTCTCATTGGAATCCAGCTTGAGATACTTCTTTATAAATTCAGAAATCCGTCCGATAGGATTGTCTTGACAAACTGACCATTTTTTCTGTTTCATAATTGGAGCGTTAGCAGTAGCCTTCAGCAGTATATCAACTATGAAATTTAAATGTAAAATTCACTTTTTAAAATATATGCTTGTAAAATTGTACGTATACGAAGGTAAAACCATACTCTTTGATTTGTCCTTTGGCACTGTCTGAAGCTCATTTCGTGTCGCGTTTCCCTCAGGGATGGTCTCTAAATTGGCCGGTGGATCTTCCGTTGTTAAGTTATCTGGTGTCTCTTCAATCTTTGCATCAGTAGTTGCACTGTTTACCTCTTCCTTGGTTGCCATGGCACAATGTAATATATCTTGTATCTGTTACAGTAAAAACAAAAATTCAATGATTATATATATACTTACTAGTGAATATACATTTAAAAGAAAAGTAAGAGAAATAAAATTTAATATATTTACTCTTATCAACAAACATATATTAATAAAACACTTCAATAAAAGCTAATCGATATAAATTCTTCACATATCTTTTCAACAAGTTGTTTATTAAATGCATTACATGTTGATACTTTAAATTTAAATTCATTCGTTTTACACTAAAATATATATATATAAATGTATAGGTTATAATATAATCATTTGATTATACGATATTTAAAATACTTATCATAAAATTACATAGAGAATTTTTCAAGAAATAAACAAGCTATATAATAGGCCTGTTTTTGGCTGAACTACTGCACCAGTTCATCTTTCTTCCTTTTCTCTCTAGGAGGAAAAAAGAGGAAGAAAAATGAACTAGTGCAAAAGTTCAGCCAAAAAGAACAGGTCTAATATAAAGGGTTATATTATTTAATAAAATAATGTAGTTTTTGCTTTTGACAACTAAAGAACTATTGCAAACCAGAATGGCATTTTTAATTATATGTACATTGTTCGTGTATACTTTTGTTCAAATCAGAATAGCTAATGCCAGTAAAAGAATCACAATTATTCCTTTTCTACGTTTTTTATCCGATAACTTTAGCACATATATATGCGTAAATTTAGTAAAGTATATACACAATAACAATGTTTGTTAGACAAATCTTGTATACATATCCCTGGTGAAAATTTTTCTCAGAATTTCTATATAATTTAATAACTTTCTCACATTTTTTATACGAATTGGAACACTACCTCAGAAAATTCACATCTTTTTTCAGAATTTTTCATATATGTTAATTATGAAATATCGTAAGATTTCTGAGATTTTTGTAAATATAATTTCTGATGAAATGTTATAAAATCTAAAAAAAATATAAATATTTTTTAAAAATCATGGAATGAGAAAATTCAGAATATTTCAGAATTCACTTGTATGAAAAATTCTGAAAGAAAATGTAAACTTTCTGAATATTTCTGAGTATTTCTGAAAAATGTTCCAATTCGTATAAAAATTCTGAGAAAAATTTTCACCAGGGATATATATGAGATATCAAGAAACTTACACGTTATTTCTCGCGGAATAAAATAGACGATAGAATCGGCAAGGAACAAAAAATTATGTTTTACATTATTTTATACTTTGTAGTTCGCAACAACACGATCAGCTGATTACTCCGAGCATCCCGATAGACGCACTGAAGCCACTGAATGACTGAATAGGTATGACTTATTTCTGTACTAAGACTGTCTAGATCACACAATCTATAGAACACTAGAATTATCTTTCTCGTTTTCGCCAAATGTCAAATATATATCTATTTCACTTAAAGTTCTAAAAAGTTCTAAAGTGTACACTATTTCAGAGAAAACAAGCCTCGTATTAACCTAACTTAACTTTAGACACGCAACACGTCACAACAATAGGGAGTAGGACACTTTCATCTTGGACACTACATATCTAGATTATCTATTTATTAATATTTATGCATCATGATTCAGAAGTGACAATTCTACAGTCTATAAAAAAACTTTTGGTGTCTTCCTACAAAAAGAGAAATAAAAGTTTATAGTTTCTATAGTTGCAAACGAAGTTAACGTGTACGAGAAGCGAAAGGTAAACAGCAACTAATATGATAATACATTTAAATATGTAGCCTTCAATTCTTTTATCAACAGTACTGACAGAACTAAAGTGTAATTGAAAGAATAAACCAAGAGTATTTTGTAACAGGTAAATTACTTTTTAAATTTTACTTTTTACTGTACTATCTGAAATATAAGACAAAAATATATATTGTAATACTAAAAAATAAAAGGATTATTTGAACAGATAATAGTTCTTCCAGTTACGAATACCGCACATTTTTCATCGCCATGGTAGAAACAGCTGGGTGTGGAGAATTGCAGCAGTTGGTTCAAGAAGAAGAATGCGAAGAACCGCTCAGCCATGGAGGAGAAGTTACTCCTCCATCGACACCAGCGAGATCTCATCGTCCGAGCAAAACTGAAGTTCATAATTCCAGTATATCGGTATGACGTAATGTACAATCATAATGTACAATCATAATGTACAATTATCTTGATTCTATTATTTTGACAACGGTACGATAATGTAATTATAAACCTGGATGATATTTTTGCAGCAACAAATATTATGGGAAAATAACGCACAAACATCGCCAATTATTAGTAAAGGAAGCTCCGGTCAAGGGACAAGTCAAGGCTCCATGGTTTCCAGTCGAGCTGCTAATGCTTCAAGTTATACTGGCAATCAATCTCGACTGACATATCTTAATGAGAAGGAAAAGCAGAGGCCTAATCGGCCTGATCCACCAAGAATTGTAAGACAGCACAAAGGTAATTAAGGCTCTGGAAATCATTTTAAATACAATGATTTTTCATCTTCTCAGTTTCTTTTATTCTCCAATTCTATTTCATTTGCTTTTCATTTCATAAATATATTTATATACATTTATATATTTGGTTATAATTTTTTAATTTTTTATAATTTATGATTTTGTTGTGTATAAGCCTTATGTTTAAGTTTTACGTCTTTTGATTTTGTTTTGGCATTATTATACAAAGCCGTGGTGCCATGCAAACACCATTGCTTTCTGTCAGAGGTTCCTGATGTTCGCCATATGGAGCAAGCTTTGCTACAATTGCTGGAAGATTTTCACAGTGGCAATTTGCGAGCATTTGGTTGGTACAGTTCATGATGTATAAACAATAGAATACTTAATGAGCTCGACAATTGTTTATAGGAAAAGATTGTAGTATGGAGCAGATGACGGAAATACGAGAACAGCAGGAACGTTTGACCAGACTACACTTCGAGCTAGGTCAACGACAGGAAGTGGGTGGCGAGCAGTCAGGTCTTCGACAATCGAGCGCAAATGTGCGCCATTTGCTTCATCGTCTTCAACAACTTAGTGTTTGTATAGAAAAGTTACATAGCAAATGATTATCTTGTATTTACTGTTACATATTATAAATTCTTATAATGATGGTCGAGGGCGTATCATTATATTATTATATACAATTTTTATAAAAGATATATTACTAAATATATATATATAGTATAATATAATGTACATATATACCTAATATAAAGTATTTTATGTTGGAAGAAGGGAGGATTATAAATGCAATCTTAGATATACGATTATATCATGCATGAAAAGATCCGAATAATGTAAAGTTTTTATTAAGAATATATATTAAAAATTTGAAACATTTTTCACACAACAGGTTTATAATTACATATCACATACATATATTATTATGTATCTATTACTATATAAAAGTATGTTTTATCAATTCAGTGGCATCACGCACTAAAACAATTGCCATTTTCGCAGCTATGTAGATTGCACTCTGTAATTGATGTTTTAAATGTTTTAATTATGTTTATTTTAAATCTTTCATTTATCGATCATGCAAATCAGATATATTCCATTTGTATAAAGAATCAGCTATATATAAATATTAACATTATTTGATGTAATTAAAATTTTTTTTCACGAGTTTCAAAAGCTGTAATTTCTGTATCCTAGGTATCTAATATTTTAGTAGATTGCTGCAGAGATTTGCGAGGATGAAATTAGCAACGTCATTACAACCACAACGCACGATTACAGCTCATGATACTTTGGAACACCTGAGCTATGCAAAACGTCCTGCATTCAATGCACTGTGGGAACCGAAGAATATGATCGGTATTGATGTAAAAACGACAGAAAAAAAACGTATTCTTGGAGACAAATATCTGGAGAGCATAATCAAGTAATGATTTGATAACAAGATCAATTTAATAAGACAACAAGATACACAAGATCAATTTGATAATTTCTATATGTATCCGATTCTGCGCACATATAATTATGCATAAATTTCTGGAATATTAATCTTGATTTAGAGAAAGGCCAAGAAGCTATATGGTGCCAAGTGTAAGTTTAGATGACGTGCAAGATAAAGATCAAAGAAAATTAGTGATCGACTTTATATACCAAAAAACGATAGATCAAGCGGCGAAGGAAGTTTGGAGCGATTTTAAAATACAACGTCCTTGTTTATACATAAAGAGACACGTAGAAGCGGAAAAACCCGTATTATATTATTTTATACAATTATTATAAATTTGCAATAAGCTTCATAGCAATTATAAACAGATTGAATAATTTATAGGAAATTGATCGACAAATGATATCTCGTTTGCCAGTGAGATTTCAAGGAACTGCTAGGAAATGGGATAGCATGCAAAGTCGTTCTTTTCTCGTAGATATTTGCTATAATAAAAAAATTAAAAGAAAGAGCGCCATGTATGTAAAAGAAAAGTTACTTACAGTAATTCTCTTTTTCATAAAGAAAAAATTTTATATAGCTAAATAATTTGAAAAATTATTTATAGTGAATTAGAAACACATGCAAGTAAAGAGATATCAGAAGAAGAGCAAATGATAAGAAAATTAATCAATGAAAATAAAATAAGTATTATTTATGACAAGTTGCCTTTGTCGTATACAGGACATAGACCATATATTGCACATAAAGTGCCGATAGAGAAGAGAGAAATTAATTAATCAAAAAGTAACAGTGTACCAATTAATTTACAAATATGTCTTCCCACATGATCCTAATAAATCAAATGCCTATTTACATATTCTATCTAATAAATTTATCATAATTACAATAAACATTTTTATAATAATATGGCTTGTAATAAATTGACTTTTCAAAATCTATTTTACAATATCACAAGAAAAAAAATTAACTCGAAAGGTTTTTGAAATCTTAAAAATATTTCTCAATTCATCTCGAAACAAAACATCGAAAACTACCTTAAAGTGTAAAACAAAATGAAAGGGCTTGCGAAGCGCGCATTCTGACAATATTTTCTCTATCACGTAGGAGCTGTAACAATCTTTGTACATCTTCGGGTCTTGGGGAATTGAATAACCCTAAGAGCAGCGCGGACGTAGCTCTGGTATGATAATTCTCCGATCTAGAGTAACCACGAACAACGGCGTTTCTGTCAAAAAGATAATAAAATTTAGAGTACATGCTTATATTTAATTCAATTAAAAAATACATTACGGTATTGTATACCTTAATTCTTCAGCTCTTTGTGGGAATTCTTCTTTCAAACAGTTTATCAAGTCTTTGGAAAAATCCTCGAAACTGAACTTTACTTGTGGTCCCAAATTAGTACGTATCACATGCGATAATTTTTCACTCTGTACGATACTTGTAGTTTTACATAAGGTTTCCTGTGCAGTCTGTTGTAAGCGGCATAAATAAACCTGAACAAGTAACTGAATAACACATTTTACAGTAATACACATACCTTAACTACTGTTATATTCGAATCTTCCAGTCTTATTATCAAAGACGGCAAACAGCCTAGAAGATGATCAATCAGATCATCATCCGGTAACATAACTGATCTGTGCCAATTGGTGGCTATCGCTCCCAAAGCATCTATGGCAGCAAGTTTCATTTCCCAGTTTTCTTTCTCGATGAATGGTTTCAAGGCCAGGACTACTCGCGGGCTAATAGGTCTCTTGTATTGAACTGATAATAATACTGAGAGGCCACGTAACGACTCAAGTACTACTTCAGCACCGCCTTCTCCTCCGGCAGTCTCCTCCAATCCATCGAGTAAAGCTTCCATGCAATTGTCGAAATATTCATCGACCTAAAAGACAACAGTTATGTCAGTATATGAAAATACGTATTAAAAAATTCTTTACCTGTCTCGGATCCAAGTAGGCTATTCTAGCAAGTCCGATGGTAGCGAGTTTTCGCACTAAAGACGATGAATCGGCCTTAGCGTCGTGCAAAGTATTAATTATGGCATCAAGCCATATAGTTCCACAATTTATTTTACCAATCAATTCCGAATAAAAGGTGGCAGCGACTCCTCGCTGTATGGGTATCGTGCTAGTCATCAATTTACCCAGATATTGAGTCATGTTTGAAAGAACCTCGCTTTTAGTTGATATACATTTCATCAATGTTCGTACAGTCGATATCAGGCTTTCTTCAGCTTGTGTTTCGGAAGCAAATGTCTAGATACAAAAAATTTACATTATTAACTTGAAGTAAAAACAATCGTAAATTTGTAAAATGTTTTTATATGTACAGTCTCTATCGGCAAATTGGCTGCAGCGTTCGGCTGGATGATTACTAATATGTTGGTTAATATAGAATATACTTCCGTATGAGGATTTATCTTTTGCGCTGCCCGATTCGGCACGTATCCGTACTTTGTATTTATCACCGACGCAGGAGCTTCGACATGTAACCAACCCGAGAGATATTTGAGAAGGACTGATAACAATCCCGCTAATTGCGTGTCGGTAATTAAGCTTTCCACGTGCGGCGATTCAAGAAGATGCTTTAAGCCTACGATAGTTGCCAAGGACGAAAGAGATGCGATATTATTTCGTCCAGAATACACGGACGGAAGAGGAACATCAGAGAATAAATTGCTGGATTCGAGTTTTACTAATAGCATATCCAAAGCCTGAAAAAAATATTTGTACATATATCTATAACGCAAAATATAAACGATTACGTAGTATTTAGAAAGATAGACCTACTCGAGGTCCAAGGAAGTCATTATTGCCAATTTCTTTCCAGCACAACGCGGTGCCTGGATCCAGTGGTAACGGCTGAGACAAAAGATACTCGATCACTTCTTCCGGATGATGCTTCATTAAAGATACTATAGCCACCGTTGCAATGTATCTACAGCTCGCGTTTTCCATTTGTCTCATTTGCGCAATAATATTTTCTACATAAATAGCGAAAAAACATTTTATTAGCAATATAAAAAATTGTAAAATTGAATAAAGATTTTTAAATGATCACGATTAGTGACAGAATAATTTACACTTTACATACCGATTAAACAAACATCAGTTCTAGATATCTCCGATCCTTTAATTTGAAAATGTTGCGAGAGAGCTATACCTGCTACCAAGCTCGCTTCTCCATAGAATAACAAGCCTTCTATCAAACCCTCCGCTAAGCTAACTATCTCGCCATTGGGAATTTTCTGCGATACCGCAATAGCTAGTCTCTGTAACAATAACATGTTTTTTTCATTTTTCATTATCGTAAGATTAGCCGTGATTATTTACATCGTTCAATTATACCAACTTACTTGTACAGCTCCGTAAGATACCGATGAGTCTTCGATCATAAGTTCTTTCTTTATTTCTTGTATATCCTCACTCAAGGTATTATCAGGTGATACATGCCGATGACGGGCTGCAATATCCAAAGAGAGAAACATACAATCTATCGCCAGTGGTCTTAACGCAAATTCGGTATCCGCACACCAGCATAAAGTTCTTCCTACAAGTTTTCCGGCATCCAACTTGCCACCTGGATATGTATATTTCAGAGAATTATAATAAGATCTGTAAAAGAGAATAAATGTTATAAATATATAACGTATTTGTATAATAAAGTGAGATATATTTGTGTGATTGTAATTGTAATAATTACTGAAGCACTGTATGCAGCACTAATAGAGTAGTTTTTCTTTCCACAATCGACTTGGATTGCATCCAGGGTAACAATATGTCAACCAGCTCAGACAGCGCGTCCGCTGAATCAGATACAATCTCGCTGGACACAGTTCCCAATTCGTCTACAACTTGCTGCATTATTTCTGGATGTAATTGCAAAGCAATCTAAGATAAAGAAATTAATATTATCACGACAACAATCGATAAATATGTGATAATGTAATCTTAATTTTGGTACCTCTGAACTAGCACTAATCGTCTTATCCAATACTGCACCGAGGAAAATTTGTCTTTCCTCATTATTTAGTACTGGCGGTATACGTCTGAAAATGTTAAAAAAAAATACATTAACGTCAATTCGTGATGTCGAATAGATTGTTAAATAAAACGTACATTAAAGAATTTGCTGCTTTCAATATCGCCGGATAGAGTTGCAATGGCCTATATCCCGTCGACGACTGTAAAATTCCCAATAGAGTGGCTAGAGCAGTAGCTTTCATACGCAGGCCCTTAGATTCGGGCAATCTGACGGGATGAACAGCGTTGGCCACCTACAAATTAAAAAGTAGAGAATTTTACTCTATAAATATATATATTCAATATGTGTGTGAAAAATTTACAGGAAGAGAGAGGATAAGTCCGAAAGGAATACCAAATGTATGACTTAGGATAAACGATATCACCTAAATAATAACATCCGAAATGTAACGTTCCGCCGTCAATTCTAATAGTTTACATTCAGATTTATTTATTCGTTTATTAAGATTGAAATCATATATGGAATTTATTATTTATAATTGCGAGAGCGGTGAATTGATAGTCATATCCCGCATATTCCTCGATTTTATCTAAAGCTCAGAGAAGACAGTAAGAAATTATTCTACACAGTTATTATTTCCTAAAATAAAGCTGTAGAGACAAATTTGAAAAAAGGCTTCTAGATAGTCTAGAGTTACACAATCATAAAACAACCCTTTCTAAAGTGACTGCCAACGTAAGGATGATAAAACATGCTGAAGGAGATTAAAATTGAATTAAATTACTTGTTCCAAGACTGACAATCCTGCTTCCTTTGTAGACAGCTCCTTGCATTCGTGCAACTGTTTAATAGTCCACGATAACACATACTTTTCGAAAACAGGGAAAAGTTCTTGCGGATCTCCTTTCTGAGCAATTTCGGCATAAGACTGCAATAAACCCGCTTTTGCAGCTTCAGCGGTAGCGGCAGCTTTCGTGTCCTTCACAAAACCTAATAATCTTACGGGGGCTTTCCTAGCATCCTCGATGGTGCAAAACTCTTCCATTAATTTCAGCACAATACTCAAATGCCGTTTGGCACAAATGCCAACCGCTCGCGCAAATTCCTTAGTAGTGCCGTGAGAACGCGCGAGTTCGAGGAGCAGGGTGATATGAGCGTTGTTGTTGCAGGTAGATGCCAAAAGCGGCGCTACGCCCGGTGTGTTTACTTTCAAAGCGAGTTCGTCAGCGAGCTTCGTGCCCCACGATTCTCCTTCCAGTTTCACACTCTCTTCTAACCATTCTACAACTTTTTTTTCCCAGATTAAATCCCTAAAAATTAAAAAAATTAAAAGTAGCTATTAACAATATAGATATACATATAAAAAAATGTATATAAAAAATATTAAATACCATTGAATGGCATCTTTCATTTCTTTAGAGCTTTTTCGAGAGTTTCTTCTACCATGTAAAAATTCCTGCGAAAGTTCGTGCAGTTTTTCATCCCAATAAGGTTTCACTTGATGACCTACCAGAGGTGCTGCCGACTTTAAAAAGACCATTACTGCGGGTCGATTAACTGGATTGCTTAACAATTCCAGGCATCTGCCTAAGACTTTTGTACCAGGGAAATCCCTCTCATTTGTTGAAGAGTTTTCATTACGTATTATTTTTACCGCTAATGGAGACAGTGAACGTAGCACGGATGTGACCTATCAACAAAGAAGAGTAATAATTGAATTAAATTTAATACATGATAACTATCTTAAGAGAATTGTTACTTACGGATGCTACGCAAGCCGAATCCAGCAATGCACTTATCAAACACGGCCATAGCCAAGATT